ACATTTTTCATGTAAAACAAAGTCAAACGAACACAAAATTTAAAATTTTTTCCGGTCGAAAATTATACCAATCAAACACACTTAATTAACAATTCTCTGCAAAATAATTTCTAGACAATTATTTTCCCTTAAATTTATTCTCTTTCCACCCATTTTTCACCCTTGCAATCAAACGGACCATGAGTTTAAAACATAATTTTTAAAAATAATATTTTCATAATCATCTTCTACAATAGGGACCATTTTCATTTCTTTTTGACAGTTTCAATAGAACTTAAATCATCAAGAATAATAATAATAAGAATAATGTTATTGACATGTAATGGAGTTATATAATGATTTATATAGACACGATGTGGTGAGATATAATTTGGTCAGTATTTCTTCAATCAAATTAAAAAATTAAAAAAAAACTTCTCTACTCCCTTTTTCGGTATTTTCTCAACCAAATAAAAAATAAAATAAACTTCTCCACTCTTTTTTGACATATCATCTGTATGTAAACAATTATATACATATAACACAACATTAGCAATAAATCCAAGCATTGATTTATTTGTAGAAACATATGGACATATATGGTATTTCTTGTACCAAATTTTTTCAGTAAGAGCCCGTTTGGTGCACATTAAAATAAGAGAATGCATTTTTTTGAAGTGATCTGATGGGGAATATGTGGTTGAAAAAGAAGGAAAATTATTGATGTGATGGAAAATATTATTTTATTGAAGAATGTGTGGTTGAAAATGAGTAAAAAAATGAGAATGAAAAAAATAATGTGGATCAAACAGCGGCTAAATAATCACTAAGACCATACCGCATTAGTCCAGTCTCAAAATATCTTCGTATTTCAATCGAATAAGTATCTCGAAAACTTAAACTAAATGGTTTTAGACATATTAAATCCTTCGGAGATTTTATATATAATTATTATCAGGCAAGCCATATGAGCTGGAAATAACCACATATATTAGGTGCATATCAAATTTTATGCATTGTCAAGTCAACACAATATAGACTTATAATTGAATCCACCATAAGAGAATTATATATTATATACAAGTCTTTACAAAAGTCATTATCATTTTCACTTCACATAAATGTTACGGCTTTATACATTTAGGTTTTTAGATTACAGGTCCAAAAATTTCAAGTGTCTCTAGTAAGTTCAATTTTGCTCGAATTTCATTATTTTATGTGGTCAACCATTTTCACGCCGGTATTTCTTGATGGATTTCATTCGATCTCCTCACTATCATTTATAATATGAAGTGCAACATCACATATAAAAGTATTGTTAACAAACTTTTATTTTTTATTTTATTTACTAATTTCACCCACAATAATATAACTTATTGAAATATCTCCATTTTTAATATTTCGAATTTCTAAATTTTTTTTTGGGATTTTATTATTATTTATGTCTATATACTCTACAAGTTATATGCCTTCGCAATAGAACCATCTCCACTGTTTGTATCATTTTTCTTTTAAGGAATTTTTGTTTTGTACTCGAATTTAATCACACTTCAACATGTTATGAATATTGCTAATAAATTTTCCTTCTAAAAGATGTCAAGTTGAGTTGGAACATTAGTTGCATGAGATTTGATTAATCTCTTTTGTCAGTAAACACATCTAAATGAATTATATTTCGAATTTTTAGGGTGCGTTTGATTGCGATGGTGGAAAATGGGTGGAAGGAAAATGATTTCCAGGGAAAGTAATTGTTTAGAAATTGTTTTGTAGGGAATTGTTAATTAAGTGTGTTTGATTGGTATAATTTTCCACCAGGGAAAATTTTGAAATTTTGGATTT